CCGTTACTTATCTTGGCGGCAACCTTCATCTAGATGAATAATTGATTTTCTTAAGCTGTTGGACGGAGGTTGAAAGATTGTATATCGGTTGAATATTGATTCTGTTACTTTCTTAAAAATTTGTGAATGTTGAAATGCTACTTGGCAATAATTAGGGAAGATATAATATCAGTTACTCTCCACCTATTTGATAACATGACTTTTCATTGTGTCATTTATTTTCGTTCATAGATAGATTCCTTTTTATTTTATTTTTATAAGGGTAAAGTGTGTCATTTTAAAGGATGTAAAGTTGTGTCATTTTAAGAGAGAGAAAGAGATAGATAAAGGAAGAGAGAGAGTTGACAAAAAAAATAAAAGTGTGGGTCCCACTTCTTTGTGAGAGTGAAAGGATATAAGTTGTGTCATTTAAAAGGATAAACATTTTTCCCTTTTTATAAACTACACATGTATGTGTTATCAAAAAAAAAAAAAAAAAACTACACATGTATGGGAAGCAATTTTTTTTGCATTCAGAAAAGCTTAAACTCAAAACCTTATTTAAGCGGAATTAAACATGTACCCCTTAATGCAACCCTTTTGGTATAAATAGATAGATTCCTTTGACGTTACACACACCACCAATGGTTTTGGAAAGGTAGACAAAGAGGTGATATTAATTGGTCTATAAAAAAAATGCATATTTCCATGATATTACAAAAATTAAAAACGCATCCTTACTAATAAAACTTCCACCTACTGCATATTCTATGTTGTTTTTATGAGACCTCCAAAATCAATGGCGGAACTTTTGTATTGCATAGGGAAGAGCTCTCTAGCTGAATTATGTCACTGCAGCTCGTTTATGCTGCTCTTTAGTTTTGATAAAGCTAACACTAAAATGGGAGTATTTTTTATTATTAGAGATTAAGAAATTTTGAGATTAAAAAAATTGGAGTAAATTTTTCTATCTTTCAAATATCTATGGCCTAGTTATATACTAAACTTTGATGAGTTATCAAAATAACAACATATGTTCTCATGACTACTAAAATGAGAGCCTATTTGAATCCTTGCTTTCTTTATAAGTTATAAGCTATTTATAAACTAAAGTTAAAAAACAAACTTAAAAAAGAACTAAAAGTTGTTTAAAAACACATATTAAAAATAAAATAAAAAACTCTATTTTTATAGTTCTTCATTTCAAAAAAAAAAAAAGATACACAATTCAAGAAAAGTATATAAAAGCTTAAAAAAAACTTCTCCTAAGAGCTTTTGGCTTTAATTTTTTTCTTCATTTTAAAATAAGAGCTTTTCATTATAAGAACTTTTCTCAAAACCTATTTGTCTCAGCTTCTACTTATAAGTAACTTCTAACTAAAAAAAAATCCAAACATGCACTAAGCATTCATAAATCTCTTAAATTGACTATGCCTTCTCTTTAAGATGCTAGCATTTTTTATTTTATTTTCTTATCCATCCAAATCTCATCATTTGCTTCTTTTCAAAAAAAAATTGATCATACTCTTCCATTGTCTAAACTGTTCTGCAACGTTGTATAATCATTTTGGAATTTTAATTTTTATGAATGTTTAATCATCCAAATCATCATTTGCTTTCTATTTAATGTTTATGAATGTTAGCTTAAATGTAATTTTAACAATTTTTCAATCGATTGGCAAAAATAAGTTTTATTTTAACAGCGTTAGGTGAAATTAATTTTGGAAGTAAAAAGTTTTCAATGGAATGTTAAAATGTAGTTTAATATTATGATTAGGGGAGCATTTATTGTTGCTATTATTATAATAAAGAGGGATATTCTTACTACTAAAATCTTCTACTACTAACTCACTACTTATCTAATCACCATTGGATCAACATTTTCTCTTTCTTTAAAAACTTTTTAACATTTTCTCTCTTTGATTCAATGGTGATTAGATAGGTACTACTAGTAAGTTAGTAGTAAAAAAATTTGGTAATAAGAATATCCTTCCTCTATTATAATAAAGGATACTTTAGAAAAAAAATTAAAATAAATAAGAATGACAATACACATTTCCCAGAATAATCTTAAGTCGGAATAATTAAGGTTAGTACAACATTTTTCTTCAACTACATGAGTGTCCCCATGTTTTTACCTGCTACCAATAATGTATGATTTGAGCTATAACAAATAAATGTGTATGACCAAGCCTATAAGCAGAGATCTAAGAATTTGATTGGAGTGTCAACAAAATAAAATAAGAAATTGAATGAATATATAAGATTATTTAAGAATTTCTCTTTGAAAATGAATTCTTTGCCAGAAAAATAAGGGCCAAACCAGTCCATGTGCAAGGCAGGAAGAAGATACTTCTACAAACAAATTTCAGTGCTTGTGAAGAAAGATAAAATAAGCCAGAAAATTAAAAAAAAAAAAAAAAATTGTTTGAATGAGATGAGATAAAATCTAATAACTTTATTTGGGCATAGAATATTATGAACCCTTCTCCATTTAAACATGTCACTTTGACACGTAAAACGGATCAGATCTCTTAAGGGGTGTTTGGTTGGGGTTTTTGTTGAAGAAACCCAGGCAACTTTCATGTGTATTTCCACTTGACCATGTTTGGTTGAAATCTAAAAAAATTTAACCATGAAAATCGTTTGCCCAGCTATTCCAATTCGAGTGCAAAATTTCATGAAAAATACTATTTCAGAAACCCAATTGGAAGGTGATATTTTGGATTTGCCCAGCAAAAGGAAATGGTGTGTAATTTGGAGACGGAATTGACCCTCATTTACTGTTGAAACATAGAGTCTCTTCGGTCTCTTTTCTCAACGTGTTACTGTTTATCTCATTTGCAGAGACAGAAAAGCCTACAAAAGGAGAACTACTTGTCATCATAGCCATTATGCATGCTGCAGTGAGAGAAAATTGAGGTTTAGTACAAAAAATGATTTTGGAAATTTGATGCTAACAAACTCTGAAGCATCTCCATGGGTAAAAAAAGGAAGCTTAACAACAGAGACGAATATTTTAGAGACAGAGATATGGAAGAATGGAATATGAACGTTGGTAGCAGATAACCCCAAATCCGATACACTGAACGAATATTTCAGGCAATGGTTAATTTTTCATTTTAGATTCAAAAATTATAAAGGGTTATTTTTGTCATTTCAACTCATTTTTCCATCAATATTTTACCTTCAACCAAACATAGACTCAGAAAATTTAACCCAATTTTTCCAGTAATATTTCGGCTTACCAAACAACTTTTTTTACATTTTTCTACCAAACTCACTTTCCAACCATTTCTCTATCAATTACATTTCTCTAGGGTGGTGTTTGGTTGGGGGTTTTGTTGAAGAAACCCAGGCAACTTTCATGTGGATTTCCACTTGACCATGTTTGGTTCAATAGGTTTTGACCAAAACTCATCTACGTGAAATACCTGACTTTTTGAGAAAGATAGTAATTTGCATTGTTTAGAAACCCGATTTGAGGGTGATTTTTTGAGAAAACTCGGGTAAAGCACTATTGACACACTTTTTGTCATATATTTTCCTGGTAAAATTTTGTCAAACCAAACTACTTTTTTTTAACTTCCACATCTATTCAACTTTCCCTATGGATACCTAGTAATTATATTTCTCTAGTATTCTTAAAATTTATCTTCAACCAAATACCCCCTGATATTCAAAAAAAATTCTGCTCAATCAAACGGTCCTAGACGGCAGCAAAATAACTAAACACTTCACAGGAATCAAAAGACAATAATAGGCTCCAAAAGTGGAAGATGAAAAAGGACCAGAAGTTGAATTTTTATTTTGACCAAGTATAAGTTCATTAAATGTTCAATATAAAGCACTGCATGTTGGTAGAGTCCCATCGTACTATGGTGTGAAATAGATAAAGGGCATTGACTTTATGTATAGCTTGCAATCTACAACATATTAGCTGTCTTGCTGACAATGGTGAACTTAGGTGGCTGTCACACTGATTTTTCATATTGAATTGAAGGAAGTGTTCGCATTTAATACGAATGAATGGGACTTTCTAACACATTTACTTTTTTTATCTAACTTTTAAGTTACAATATTCCAATTATAGTTAACTCTTTGTCCTCAGGGTTTAATGTTTATATTTATTTATTTTTTGACATACTCATATAAAAGTGAATGAGTTCATTAATTTTTTTTCTTTATTCTTTTTACAATGGAATCCACTCATTTGTATACAAGAACGACAGAGAAATTTTTTTTGTAACAAAAACATAAATATTTTTCCCTCTGCCCTCATTTGGCTCCAAGCAGTGCCTATTTTTATAGCCATTCACAGTTTGAACTTCCAGGCACTAAAGGGACTTGTTACTTTTTGGTTTTGGGCTACCATTGTCCCTTAGCAAGTCAATGTGGGTTATCAGGCTATGGCACTTTGGTTGATGAAGAAAAGGTTGAACTGGACTATCAACTATAGCTTTGGCCTATTGGGTAATCTAGTAGTTAATTCAAGACATATTCCACTTTTCACTACCTTGGTCTTGACTCTTTAGTCAATGTGTGCCGACCCACAACACAACCGACAAATAATAATAAAAAAAAGTGAATGGCAATTTGCATGAATGCCACTTGCTTCTGCCCTTTTTAATGAGTTTTGGTTTATCTAGAAATAGCACTCTCGTCTTTCCTAAGGGGTCTGTATGTAAGTTGAGGCATGGTCCCATGCCAAGGACAAATAATGACAAGAAGAAGATAAACCAGCTAAACTTGGCAGACACGGGTTTGATAACTGTCATCTACTCATCCAACATCAATTTTGAAGACTGAAAATTTTCAACATATGCGACATTTATTAAGTTAGACTTTTAGAGGTTTGGATACAATTTAAAAGTTGAGCAAAACTTCTCCTGATTTAAGTACCTTGGGTTTTTAAGTAACAAAAACTAATACAGAAAAGGTAACAATACAAAAAGAGGAAAACAATTTGAATTTCAAGAGGAACTTTATATTGAAGAATTAGCCATTTGGCCAACGCCAATATCCAAGAAAAACTGAGCGACATGTATCTAAATATGTTAATTGACAATTACCCAATATATTAAAACGGAAAAGTTATTGTCATGCTAGAGATAAGTTTTCTCTCTTACACACTCTTCGATATCTGTGTCACTTTTTCTTTTAGATGGTAGAGCCCACAAGTTTATCTCTATGACATGAGATAAATTATCTCCTTTAACATGAGATTAATAAAACTCATATTAAAAAAGAAAGTAAATTAAGAGTTGAGGAAACTTGTTCCCTCCTTGAGGGCCTAGAATTTCACTCCAAAACTCCAGAGATTGCAGATGATGATGTCTTTGAATAGCGTTCAAGCAATGATAGTACCCTGGCAGCCTTTCTCCTGAGGTGGCCATCACCATATATCTGCATGCCATTAAGACCAACAAGACGTGATCTAGCTATTGTTCCATAGTGTTCTACCATTTCCTTTGACACAAACACCTTCTCCAACAGTCCTAGAGCTTCTGCCTTGAGAGAATCAGTTCCCCAATTCAAAATGTCCAATAAGGGTCTTATTGCATTTGATTCATGCAAGACACGAGCACCCCTTTGAGGAAAGTCTTCCAAAACCAATGTGGAAAGTGTCTGTATTGCTTCATAAGCAGTTGCATGAACCTCCCCAAGTAACAGCTTTATCAAGCCAGGCAAAGCATTTGCTTCCAACAGACAAAATGTGTCAGTCACACTGCATACACTCCCATGTGCTGAACATAAAGGAACTCGTGATGATTTAAAAAACCAGCAACTAGTTGATTTGGAAACAACTGTGAGCTTTGGAGTGCTCATAGAAAGATCACCAATGAAAGCTGCTGCTCTTGCCTTTGCTGTGACTGAACCAGTGTTGAGAAAATTTACAAGCAAAGGATATATTCCACGTTTAACCAAATCCCGCTGTGAATCAATATTTGTAGGGTCTGTGAACCTGAAGAGTGCACTGAGAGCATTTTCTTTTGCTTCCATTTTGCCAGTTTTCAAAATGCTTATGATTGCATCAAGTCCACCCAATTCAATCAACTTCATAGTGAGTTCTCGTTCTGATTTTGGCAGGTTTGCTAGCAAACCAGCAGCTGCCATCTGCACATTATCGTTGTCATCATTCTCAAGAAATCCAATCAAAGCTTCAAGCCTTCTAGGCCTGAGGAGGTATTCAACTATTCCTTCTGACTCATGCTGAGAGAAAAGGAAGAGCAGATTGATAGCATTCTCCCGGACTTCTGAGTCAGAATCATCAAGAAGTGGAAGAATTAAAGATACACCTTTAGCTGCAAGAATTGCTTTCTTAACCAAACCAGTCTCAAACTTGCAAATGCCAAGAAGAGCACGTAGTACAGGCTTTCGGAAGTTGTAACCTGAGTTAGAACTCTGCTGCAGAGCTAGCAAATTGGTGATGATGGAATCTAACTCAAGTTGTTTCCCTTCTCCATCAACAAAGAAAACAATTCCATCATTATCAGAAGAAAGCTTCTCAAGGATTTCAGAACATTTAATGGTAATGAATGTCCGTATCCGAGGAGAGAACATTAAATCTAGAATAAGAGGAACACCTCCACATGCAGCAATGATTCCCTTATTGGAATGAGATCCTGCTAGTTTAACCAGGGCTGATAATGCCAAGTCTTTTGATTCAATATTTCCAGATAGCATTTCTAGCAAAGGAGGTATAACTCCTTCCTTGGCAAGGAGTTTCAAGTTCAAATCACTCAACTCCAAATTAACTGTGGCTTTTGTCATTGATATTCTTGAATCCGTTCCTGAGAAGATAATGAAGGACAAATAACTCTATATGATTCACAATATTATAACCTTCCTGTCTAAAGGATTGTAAGGCACAACTGCTTTACTTGGCGCACAACCCAACAAATAAGTATAGCATAAAGACAATGAAGGAAAAAGACTGTCCCAATTTGACTATGTTCACAACAAAATAGATGAATCATTATACACCATAAAAAGAAGAAAGTATATGTACACTTACCATGTGAATTTAAGGAAGTTAATTTTTTCATAGAGGATAAATGCATTACGTGAAGATTTCCATAGGCATTACAAGGAGGTAATTTTTTACCAATTACCATTAATACTGATGTTATCAAGAACATGGAATAGGAAGAGATTCTAAAAGCGTTTCCTAAGAAACAATAATATTTACAAACGATCTTTGTTGATGTTTTAGTGAGCATCCAATTCATGTTTCCAAGAAAAAAGCTTAAAGCATACAAGTTCAAAATGTAAGCTAATTCTGTATTTCCTTAGCAAGCTAGATGACAAGTCATCCTTGCCTTTTCTGTCATTGCAGTGCCAATTAGACATTCAGTGTCATGAAATATATTTATCCCATCACAATAAACATGTTCAACTAGTAAATAATCCATCTTCTTACCTCGTATCATTCGATCAACAAGTGGTTTATACCAGCCAAAATTAGCAGCAGTAGTAATGCTGTCCTCATTTATTTCAAAAAGCTCCATCAAAATCTTTTCTGCGATGTCAGCTGAATCATTTACAGGATTCTTCAGAAGGGTGACAAGGAAAAGAACTGCAGTATGATTCTGAGAGAGTTTTTTGCAGAAACATTCATTCCAACCAGATCGGTCTTGAAGCAACTCATATAGCAAATCAATTGCTGCCTTTGAAATGCTAGGGTCACTCCCTAAGCAGGAAATAATGTGATCCCATCCTAGAGATTCAGCCACTTTCTCCTATAAAATTTTATGCAAATGTTGAACTTAAATTGGTCTTCATGATTGCATGTATATTTAGCAATGTTAGGAATCCAGAATAACGTATCTCAATGGTAAAACTGGTCCACTTTCCATTCAGGAACAGAATGAGAGAAACTTTAACTTAGAAAATGGTGACATGGTAGCAGTGAGCCATAATGAGAAAACATATTACTTTTTTTAAAAACATTATGTTCAAGAAGATATAACCAATAGCATAATAAATAATAAATTGCAAATCCTCCGGAAGGTAGTGTGTGGTTTGCCTGAAGCAAGATAAAGAAAAAGCAAGAACAACGAAAAGTTTGCTTACCTTGTTTTTTGCATGCCCCTCTACAGCATCCTTCAAAGTTATTAAAATCTTCATCTTCACTTCTCTGTCATCAGAGTTCCCAAGAACAGAGATAACAATATCAGTAAGCTCTCCTATAGAAATCCAATCCTTGTTAATAGAATTCTCTCTTATTAGAGCCTGAATTTGGCTCAGGGATCCTTGCAGGTCAGATTTTCCTAATAAATTTTCCCTGATAGACCTTATTACGAGACAATAATTAAGTTCTCTCCACTCTTCAATGGATTGTTTTACTGCAATGTTAGACCTCAAGGTAGTATCTTCAAGAACCTCTTTTGTTTCCGGGTCTGTCCTGTTGCCATTGTAAAACCAAGCTTCAATGGCAGATCTCTCACATGTAGTACCAGTGCAAAGGCTGACAGGATCTACCATAACAGTTCCAGTTATACAACAAAGGAAAGAATTAAGTGGTAGGATATATTTTTCCCTTGAATCATATCTCTCTATCACCTGAACCCTTTCAAAGTATTGCTTCTTAACTTCTTCATAATCCCTAGCTGCATCAGCTCGAGAGAGTAACTCAATGATCTGTTCCAAGAAAATAACTTCAGCTCTTTCTTTTCTGTTGGCAGCTTCTTCTTTTTCTCTCCTAATGCTGGCCAACTCTTTGCTAATCTCTGAGGGTTCCACTGGCACCCCAACTGCCCTTGCTATCTCCTCAAGCATGTCATTTGCAAAAGCCTGATCTAGTTTCTGTTCTCTAAGTCCCTGGTCTAACTTGTCAACAATTTGAAGCTGAGATTGTGAAGCCTCAAACTCCACCCTTTGCATCTCATTCTGTAATCTATTAACTTGATCAGAAATTCTTGAAAGGACTTCAGTATTTGCAATAGACAGTGCGGCCAGAGACCTTCCAATATCCCTTGTGACTTGTTCAACTTCCTCAACTATCAATCGGCACTTAACCAGTAAGTAAAAACTGCCACGGTTCCTGTACTTCTCAACCAAATTATTCGCCTTTTTAGCATCTGCTTCAAGAGACTCCAGGGCAACCCTTGCAGCTTGAGATTCATTCAATTCCTGAAGCTGTAATTCCTTCAGCACTGGCTCAATATCAAATAGATATTTTGAAAGGGCCTTGAAACTTTCTTTACCAATAAGAATATCAGCTGCTGCATGAGCTGTTTTGGAGACCTGGTTGATTACCACGGCCAAAATTGTACCTATAGGTATGAGTTCCAATCCTACCATAGTAAATGTCTATACTGAATTCTTTACACAAACTATGTAAACTAAACTCTATCTATTGCCCAGAAGTTGAAACTATTGCGCCTGCAGATTGCTTCTTTTCTTCCCTGGAATCAAATTCCAATAAATCAATCATTTATACATTCTGCATCAGCCCATTCATTTCAAAACAAACCATTTGGCATAAAGAAGAAAAGAATGTGCAATAAGCATCATGCTCAACAACCAGTTATCAAGATAAGCAACAATCGGACAAAAATTAAAGAGAATACCTTGACAACATCTGCAGCAAACAGGAAGTTAATTGACAAAGATACAAGCTCTCAAGGCATGCTACAGTCAAGCTAAAATCAAGGAGTAGGCTTTCAGAATATCTCGTAACTAGGATAAAATCAATTTCGTCATAACTACCATGATTTTACCTCTCTTTCTTCAATATAAAAACTGATGCATTATTTTCCGGATTCGAACACAGTGACTTTTCAGTCACAAATGTGCATTTTTACAATTACTTCAGGCCCACCCTCTTATAAAAAATGATGCATATCTGATGTAAAAATAGAATTATGAGATGTAGAGATTCCATCGCTCTCAAAATTCATCGTTTATTTTTCACATAATATTATTTCTCTATTTCACCTTGAGTACTCAACAACCGACGATTTAAAAGAGCTAAAATCCGCGATAAAAACAAACTAAAAAATTGTACCTAAGCTGCAGCATCTATGATTATAACATGCAGAGGACAACGATGTCTATATTGCAAGGTGCACAAATAAAATGGAAGGAAAAAAAAGGAGAAGCTAAAAACTAACAGTGAAACGGACCTCGAAATCAAGACATAATTCAACTAAACTAATTAAAGAAGTGCCACAATCTTTATACAACCTTTCAAATAAAAGTCCTAGTTGTGAAGGAACAACTAAGGAAAGGAACTGCAACTTTTTTTTGTCCCAGCTGAGTTTCTTTCACTCCTCAAATAATGAATACTGGGGATCTTATGCTATTTATAACGAAATTAAACAGAAGGGTAGATTCTAAGTCACTTGCAGCCATAATTCAACACGTACGTACATCTTCAATATAATACTAGTCACATTCAAAGTCTTCAATCACCCCCACCCCCAAGGAAGAAGGGAGAGTGATTAGGCTTACCTCACAGAACAGAAGCACCAAACTAGAGAAAGAACTCGGAACTGGGAAGCAAAACTTACTGTTTTTGGCACAGAAGAGATATCTGGGGAGAGACGATTTGAGCTAGTCAATGGTTTCAGGAAAATAACAGGAATATTGAATATTCCAAGAATTCTATGTTTCAAAAAAGTTGAGTGCGGAGGAACAGACCAATGAGTGACACACATTTTCTCTTGCATTACATTTTCTTTTCCTCGAAACTTGGTTCGTTTGTTACACTTAGCTACGTTGGATTTAGTCAGTCCATGAACGCGGACAGTTGATTTGGTCGTGTCACGATGAAATTATAAACGTTGAGTACTTGAGTTGTCCTCTAATTCTCTTGGCTGGAAATTTCACATAAAAATATTTGATTACATGAATTCAAAAAAAAGAAAAGGGAAAAGAAAATAGTATAGTATAGCTTTCAATCAGGCCCAAACTCATGGGACAACCGTAACCATGTAACTAATCCACTTATCGAGTATTAACTCACACAACCCACCAATTAAATGCGTTACGTTAGTACTGGGATGTGACTCAGCCCACATAATACAAATTTTATTTTTATTTTTTTCATATTTAATTCAGTAATTAGAAAACCCTAATCCCGAAAGTTGTTCACTGTTTCTGTTCATTGTTGTTCACCGAGCCATCATTGCCGTCCATCACCACCAGAACCACCATTGCTGTCTACCGCGCGAGCCACCTTCAAAACAATCATACACTTAGCTACAAAACTCGGAGAATTAAACATGCTAGTTGCTTTGAATAACATGTATCAAAATTCTAAATATATTAGGAGTATTAACTCAAGGTGACTCTACCAGAAAATAAGAAAATGTATTTTGATGCTTTAATGACATTAGTGTAATGGTTTTGCTCCATTTTCCTGAGTCTTTGCATATTATGGTAATTATTCTGCTCAGATTTCTGGCGGGTCAGTGAAATACTTTTCTAATTTGAACAAAAATTTAGGACATGGAGTCGATGGTTGGGTTATCTCTCTAAAACCAATCATGAGTAAACTGGCTGAATAATGATAATTTATAATAACTTAATTAGTTGTAATGATTTTATTATTATATTTTTGAGTTTTATTAATCACATGTTAAAGGAGATAAGTTATCTCATGTCAGATAAATTTGTAGGTTCCACCACCTGGAAAAAAAAAAAAAAAAAAGTGGCACGGTTATCGAAAAGTGTGTAGGAGAGAAATTTATCACATGTAACAGCATAAGAGTAGTTTCTCCCTATATTTTTTTATATACATGATCTGTACAATAAATATTGGGCTAAATCACACACGTTAAATCTAATCAAATAATAATTTGGGTTATTTCTAAAATTGACATTGTTTAGAGCTATCTCCGCGAATATTTGATCAGGATTCTTATGTGAGATGCACAATCAAGTGATGGGGTTGTCTTGTTTAGCTGGAACAAATATGGGGTATTTACTAGGCACTCTAACCCTCAAAATAGTATTTGATTAACGAGCTTTAGTAACGATGGATAAGATAATCATAACTAGGTTTCAAGTCTATATTATATAATAGTTGATTGTCTTATTTATGTCGTTTTAGTATGACGACATTTAATCGTATTAATAGGCTGGAACGAGTTCTAAAACCGTGTGCAAGATATGTATTTGTGAGTTATGTTTTCTAGACGTAGCTAGAATCATGTATCTGTCTCTTAACTATTGGGTGATTGTAAAGTTTTGAGCTACTAATAATAGCATAGTTATATGCCTGTGAGAAAACATTGTAAACTCATTTCTTTAGTCAGGATTATTTATGAATTGGACCTTATATAAATCAATACCAAATGTAAATTTTGTTATATTACTGCGTAACTACCTAAATTATTTTTCTATTTGACAACCACGTAATAATTTCACACATAAAAAAATATAAATTATAAAGAAATTGTTTTAAAATATGAGTTTTTCTTTTTAATATGATTCATTTGTTTTAAAATAACAACTTCAAATATCTATTTTTTTTTGGTAAACAAAATATCTAAATTTAATTTTATAACAACATATCAAATATAAATTTAAATTAATCAAAATATGATAAATTCAAGTTTAAATAAAATTATCAAAATACATTAAACTATATTAGCATATATGTACACTACACCAAAACTGGGTTTTAGCGGCGGTTTTTTTGGATTTAGCGGCGGTTCTAACCGCCACAAAAAATACTGTGGCCAATTAAAAACCGACTTAGAAAATGGCGACGTTAAATAATTTAGCGACGGTTTGAAGCAACCGACGGAATAACCGACGCCAAAAATAAAACCGACGTTGAATATATATAAACCGCCATTAATTATTAGAAAAAAATAAATCACTTTTATTTATAGCGGCGGTTTGGAACCGCCGCAAATCATTTATTCATTTTTTTTTTTTAAAATTAAATTTTTGCTGTGGTTTCAAAAATTATAAAAAAAATTTTGTAAACAATATATATTTTAAACAACCACTGAATTGTATAATTCATTTAGATTACATAACTTGACTCAAATTTTTGATTTCTTCATTGTTTATAAGCAAAATTGTCGTTATAACATTAAATATATAAAAAAACTAAATACAATTATAAATCAATTTAAAAAGTTTAACATTAAAAATTAATAGATCCAAATATAGGACAAAAACAAAGTACATAACTCTTTTACAAATTAATCGTAAAAAAATCACAATGTCAATACAACTAAAATGTTTAAACATAAGTAATCTAGTATAGTTGTTGCTCCAATTGCAGCAAGTGCCATAAATCCTTCCTGCCATTGACCTTCAAGAATAACCTGAACAAATTCTAAAACTGTTTAAAGGTAATCCGAAATGACATTCCATACTGTTAATCTGTTACTGTTACAATTATCAATTCAGAATAAGAGTCAATTTTTAGCATCTCCATTTTATTTTTAGCACAAATAAAATTAAGTACACTAACTTAATTAGTAATAGAAAATTTTGATAGTAAAAATATCCTCCCTCTATTAAATATTACACGTGTACCAGGATCGCATTTGCTTCCTTTGCCATCTTCAGCACACCAACATTGTCAGGGGTGATAAAGTATTTGTTGTCCACGAGCTCCACACCCTAGCAAAACCCAACTTTACGTCATTTAGTTGGCGGTGAATAATTATAATTTTATTATATCAATATATTTGCAAACGTTGACAAAAAAAGAAAAAGGAAAAAGGCATGTCATCATTGTCATGTGAATTTGCTTGGTTCAGATTTATTTAATTTATTAAGGGGGTAAGAAAAAAGAAGAGAGAAACAATAAAAAAAGTGATGGGGTTTTTTATGGTTAACACGATTTAGATGGGGATAAGAACAAAAAAGAAAATTCCTCGAATCATGAACAGTCGAGACAAGTTTGCACACCTCAAATTGTTCTAAGGTAGGATAAGATCCATTTGCCACCTTCTTCCTCACGGTGGCAAAGTCCATGGGATGCTCAATCACATCGTGATAATCAGGAAGCTGCATGTCAAAACAGAAAGCCTATCAATTAGCTCCACTCTTAATTTGGATGTATATAGGCATAAAAACAGTACAGTAACAGGGAGTGCACTATAATGCCAAATCAACAATATGCTGTATATTCTCATAATATATATGGGACTATATATAATAGCTATAAATCTAAAACTTGGAGTCGTGTAAATAAAGTAAAAAAAAATCTTGTCTTCATTGAAAAAAAGCGAAACAAAGAAGGTTAACTTGATCAAATCCTTGATCTTCTTGCTTCCTAATATAATCACTCGTCCTATGAGAATATTCAACCCATTTATGTATTATTTATTCCAAAGAGAAAAAATAAAAATAAATAAAGCTTAGAATATAATAGCACGCTTGAAAGTTGAAAGTTATAGGAAAGTTACAGTTAGGCTCAAAGGGGTCCCATATGAGCTGCAAGACAATGACCATCCATCCGATTAAGAAATTTGTAGAGTCCTTTAACGCCAAAATCACAATTTTTTATTTACCCTTAATCACGAACTATTCAGTTCTATATGTTTATGATTGGACAACACCCTTCAGAGCATTGACTAAGAAACAGAATAGCAATCTCCAGAAAAAAATGGTAGCTGTGTTCAACAAAGAGCTCTTGAGTTGGTACCTTATCACTCTTAAACTCAAAGAAACATTAGAATCCATGATTCCATCATCAACTGAGTTTCCAGAGAAGCCTCCTCAACAGCAGCAAAAGCTTCAGCAGGAGCCTTCAGAACCATTGCAGGTTATCATCAATGAAGATGGTGAAAATTTGAAGGAAGAAGCAAGCTCACAAGAATCTGAATGGGTGATCTCCATCAAGGAAAAACTAGAGCAAGCCCGTCAAGATGATGTGGCAAGTTCATGGGCCAAGTTATCAATCTACGAAATCCCCATATTTTTTAAAATATAAAAATAAAATAAAAAAAATTGGTAGTTACAAGTAAAAGGGGATGGCAGGCATTATTAGGCATTATTATCACTGTTTACTTCTTTGTTTAAAAGAAACATCATTGTTATCAAAAAAAAAAAAAAAAAAAGAAACATCATTAATTGAATTATTCCAAATGACAGTTACAATGCCATAATGACCAAATAATTCAAATTATTTTGGTTTTATCAGTTAAAGAAATGGAAATTATAGACCATTAATAATTCAAATACACATCCTTAATTAACACTAGAAATATCTGGTAACAGTAATTACCCATTAAAATTCTAATCTCTAAAAGAGCTTCAACAGGGTCCAAAATCCCACTTTATAAAGAGAAAGAACCTCCACCCCAACACCCCAAAAAAAAAAAAAATAAAAAAAAAAAAAATAATGTATTCCTCATTTCATCAAACAGCCACCGTGAAATGAGACAGAGCATTAAGAAGCCAATACATTCAACAAATTCTGACATGTCTGGAACTCAATGAACAACATATTATTCTGATTTTATTAATAGCATCATCAATTTACAAAATCAGTTAGCTTGCATGCATCAAATTGACAACTAATTATTCAGCTGCGGAACAAATGGAGAAGTAGATGAAGGAACAGACAGAGATTTGAGATTGAGG